CAGACACCGATGTTTTTGTTCTGGCAATGAGACGTTATCCCCTACTGTGCCCCAACACAGATATTGTGACTAAAAAAGGAGATAAGCGACTTACCGTTGAACTTCGCCCAATCGCAGCAGCCCTTGGATCAGCTGAGACAGATGCGTTGGCCGCATTACACGCTTTCACCGGAGCTCATGTCATAGTAAGCTTCTCTAGTAAAGCAAAGAAATTATGCTGGAGAGCTTTTCAAGAGTTTGATGGCAAATGGTGCTCTGTCATGACCACTAACCCCCCAGAATCCAAGGCAATAATCAAGCTAGCCAAGTGTGGATGCATAAAAGACTGCCATCATATTACTAATTGATGTCAATGCTGTAAATCGAATCCTTGCTGTACATGCACAGACCTTTGCACCTGTGCTCTATTTCAGAAAATTGTGAAAACTATCATGACATGGAGAATGAGAGTGACACTGATATTGATGAAAAAACGTGATACATAAACTAAATACTATTTTTACTTTGGTTAGAATTTCCTCTAACTTTTTATGGAAATGGAAATACAAAACGAACCAAGCCAGGAAACGAACATAGATTTTGGATGGAATATTAAACAAAGTCATCATGCAAAGATATCAGAGAAGATATTTAAGGTATTCCCTTTCATTTATTGCGATTCTTTTTTACATGTTGTCGTAAATAACTTTATTAAAACGACTCAATATGTCTTAGGGGAAACATCTTGAAATTAGTTTACATTCAATATCAGCCTCGTTTTCATGTAAGTATGATCACGTGACCTACCGGYTACAACTAYATCAGCACATCAGGCATATAAAGCAAGTTAATTTGTGTGAGTTTTGGTCTATTTGCCACAAAAATGGTGAAGTTACAAGAGGTTTTGTATTAGAGCCTCGTTTTCATGTAAGTATGATCACGTGATCAAACCACCAAAACAACTACAATGTCTTATCAAGCTTATCAAGTGTAATAACTTGAGTGAGTTTCATTTTATTTGGGACTAAAATGGTGAAGTTATTAAAGGTTTTGTATTGCAGCCTCGTTTTCATGCTGAATCTGACCTGTGCAGTTTTAAACCCCCCTAACTCGGTCCCTATCGGGTTGCAAAGTTGCCATCAAAGTTTTTCATATTCCTTGGGGACCCCTTAAGACATCTAGCCTAGTGGCTTGCTTTCATCACAAAATTCCCACGGGATTTGATTTTATGACATTTGCTCTATGATAGAAACAACCAACGATGACCTTGACAAAGCCAGCCATTGTCTGGTCAACAAGTTCAATGAAACGTGACATGTGCATGGGAGCTTGACTACTCAAAAAGTGACCAGTTAATATAAGACCCAAAAAACTGTTGGACAGAAGATTTTTGAAAGGCGCGTAGCGTGGACTTTTGGGCTAATACGCATATGGCCGGTACCGCGACATATAATTTGGATTGGGGGGCTAACTACCTCCGAAGGCGGGAGTATTAAGGGGGGTCGGGGGGTCTTCCCCTGGGAAATTTTGAAATAATAACTATTGGAAATGCGATTTTCAGCGTTTTGAGGGGSATCGAGAGCATATAAAAGGCATCAAATCCCGAAAATTTTAATATTTCCTTCCCAGTAGTACGCACGTGCGTAAAGGACTCTACGCGTCTGAATTAAATGTTAGTAAGAAAGTCAGTTAAATATACGATTTTCATTAGTCATTAACTACTATTTTTTGGGCAAAAAGTCAGTTAACTATTAACCCCATTGACACCCTCTGCTTATAATTGATTTATCCTATTTGATTTTTATTTTATATTTTGTATTGATTTTTTTTTCATTTTGTGAGTATATAACCAACAAAAAAACTGATCATCTTAACAGGTTTTCTGACAATCAAAGAGCTCAAGATGCTATCAACATCACGATATTCCACTGGGGTATACATGGATGGATCGTCTACACTTTAGTCGGCCTCACTCTAGGATTCCTGTCCCACAACAAAGGTATGCCAATGACCATGAGATCCTGCTTTTATCCTCTTATTGGCGACAAGATCTACGGCACATTTGGTGACGT